GGGGGGGGTGGCAGCAGCTACAAGTTTAAATGCCATCGGGGACAATAGATACATCAGGTGGACATCACACTCAACAACTCATGCGGTGCCATATCCATCCACACAACTGAACAGCCAACAGGAACTTTACAGAAAGTTCAGAGAAGCTAGGAAAATGAAAGTGCTGAATCTCTGAGAACAGACATCCCAGCTTATGCCACTCCCAGGTGCCCGGTGGCACACAGGACCTGACCTTTGCATTCCCCACTGACCAAGCATGTCACGTGGTAGGAGAATGCTGTTCCTACCAGCGATGTTCATAACAACTCCTGTCTGTTCTGTGTCCGACCCTCAGAGCAGACACGGTTGCCTCTCTCAGTTCCCGAAGAGGAAGCTGGTGCTTGTTGAGGTGAAACCACCTTACAATGTCACTCACTGGCAGGCGGCGTGGCGATGCCACTCCAGTTCTGCATTTTCTCAATGCCCCATGAGTGCCCCCAGAATGCCCCCGGTGGTCCGCATGCCTAATTAAGTGCTTCCCTGCCCAGCAAGCTGAGCAGTGTTTGTACCAATGAATACTAGGACTGCAAGCGGTTCCACATGCCCCGGGTGTCAGATGCCCAATTTAAGTTGTCCCCTTAGCAAAGCTTGCCAGCCGCGCAGTCTCCCTGCACAGGTAAACGCGCTTGCGCTGTCCAGCTCACTCATTCCCCGAGTGTGGCTTTTGGAACAGGCTGCCAGCGACGGACTCACCGGCCGAAGGCAGCCGAGCAGGTCCTGTCCCAGGGGACAGCTCCGTCTCTAGCCATGACCCGCGGCGGCTCCTGAGATCGTACAGGATTCTGCCGAGCGGAGGCCAGACCAGGACTCGGCACAAGTTCTCTCTGGCATTTTCCCGCCACACAGTCACGCCGAAGCCTGGAATAAAAAATCTCTTTCGCCTAAGTGCCCATCAGCAGATGAATGGATCAGAAAACTGTGGTACATCTACACAATGGAATACTACGCTGCTGTAAAAAAGAAGGAATCTTACCATTAGCTACAGCATGGATGGAACTGGAGAGCATTATGCTAAGTGAAATAAGCCAGGAAGTAAAAGAAAAATACCACATGCTCTCACTCATTTATGGATAATAAAGACCATTATGAACTGATGAATAAAAATAGATACAGAGGCAGAGCAGCATTGAACAGACTGTCAAACTACAGTGGAAAGGCAGGGAAGGGTTCCGGGCGGCGGGGGACTAAGCATAACTAATGGACATAAGACACTGGGGGTGGGGGGGCAGGGAGAGGGAGGCCGGGGGAAGGTCAAGAGGGGGGAAAAAAGGAGACATCGCAATATTCTTTGTAAACTTTAAGCAATAAAACAAAATTTTAAAAAAATAAAAAAATTAAAATTAAAAAAAATCTATTTCATAAAACGTATTTTTCTGACACGTTAAGTCCTCGCTTATATCCAGTCATTTCTAATGTTCGGATGCCCGTTGCATTACTTCCTGCCTCGGTCTAACTGTCCCTTACTGAATTCTTTGACTGTTTATCACGGAGAATTATCCTAGAAATGTGTCGTATGGGATTAAGGACCTGGGACTTCAGTTCTCCATGTTGACGCCCTTCTTGCTGTTCTGGGGGCGACCACACAGATCTGTGAACCGACACTGACTAACGGCCAATGTTCTTGTTGAACAGGTTCAGAACATGTCCCAGTCCATCGAAGTCTTAAACCTGAGGACTCAGAGGGATTTCCAGTATGTTCTAAAAATGGAAACCCAGATGAAGGGGCTGAAGGCCAAGTTCCGGCAGATTGAAGACGACCGGAAGACACTCATGACCAAGCACTTCCAGGTGGGTCCACGCCCGCGAGCGGTCCAGCCGGCGGGCGAT